ACGTACGCTAAGTACGTACGCTAAGTACGTACGCTAAGTACGAACGCCCGGACGTACTCGCGTAGTATCTTCAGAGGCATGTATCAAATAAACTAATGCCAGATAGGCTATGGCACGGCCAAAATTAGTGACATTGATCGTGTTAAAAACAACATGTATTTCACTAGGATTAACATTCAATATTATTTGATTGTACAATGATTCGTGACGCTCAAGCAGACAATTGATATGATGAGATAATGTTCTCATGTCAATGTCAACGCCATTTTTCTGTAACTCGTTTAATATTACTTCCATCGCAGCAAAACAACAAATGAATACAACAACCAAAACATTTTATTAAAAATACACGTAATCTACAACTGTAACTGGTTTGCAAAATCATGCATAAATTTAGTTGCTAAGTAATTGTTTTTATTACAACTCTGCTTCTTTAAAGGTTTGTTACTAAAGTTCACAGTTTGGAAAAATCCCAATTCCTCGTCAGGTGCCCACTCGAAAAACCGACACGTACTCTCCTTGTCATTCGCACAACAGAAGAACAATCGATCTTTGTTGAGTCCTTCTTTCTTCACCTTTCGAATAGCGCACGGTAATCCATGACGGCACTCGGGTTTCGCTAACGGCTGTACATCACCCCACATCCAAAAGGAACACGGCTTCGCCTTTTCTCCACACACGAAGAATGGTCTTCCATAATTCACATTCATCAAATTTTTCACGACACACATTTTCGCAAGTTTATGATGTTCATCGCACAGAGGATGAGGCTGCTCGGTACATCTCCAAGCTGTTATGGCTTTTTCATACACGTAGCCTTCGTCTTCTGTACAAAAGAAATTGCAACTGGGGTTTTGACCGCAAAACCAAAATGATCCATTGCTTGTTGTGGAATTAGCAGCAGGTTTTCCATGTAAGCACTCCATCGTACAGTTCTGTTGGCAAGTAATGAAAACTGGCGCACGATCCCATCCTTATATATCGTTAAAGTACGACCGCTTCCGGTGACGTAATGATCTTGCCCAAACTTGTTCATGTCCTCAGCATTTATCCTCTCTCCAGTATGAAAGATAATTCAAAATTGACTCAAATTCACTATCCTCGATGTTTTCACGAAGATCCATCAGAGAGTAAACAAACGTTGAATCAGGACTTTTCTCTAAATCGTCAAAGTGATCTCGAACATCTTTATGATACTGTAACTTCATCACTCTAATAGCCTCAACAAACTCCCTCCAAACCATACGTTTAACAATCACTCGCTCTATGGCTTCCAAACCATACGATTGCCATCTCTCTTGTTCTGATAACATGAGACAGTCATGCTGGCGTTGACTCGGATGGTCGTACTCACAACCACAACATCTCTCTTTAGTAAGTTTACCAACTTCGCAAGCAACAGCCTCTGCATATATAGCCTCTAACAAACTAAAAAGCCTTTTATAATCAGAGGACGAAACTTCGTCTGCATGAACACTGTTGGCCCAGTTCGATTGCTCAAAATGTTGTGAAAAATTCATCTTCAAAGGCTTAGGATGCAGTGAATAAACGAGCAGTCTCTTTTATAGACAAGTGCAATACAATTACGTAATGCTTACTAAAACTGTACGTACACTAAGTACGAACGCTTGGACGCACGCTAAGTACGTACACTAAGTACGAACGCCCGGACGTACACCACCTGTTGACGTCATTCGCTTGAATCACTTCCGTACCTGGATGGGGGGGGTTACCTACTTACCCCTGAAGAATTCCAAGCTCAAAACCCTTTACCCCTGAAGAATTCCAGGGATCCTCGACAGGGGGGTACGGATATTAAATGGAATAGCCCATTTCACACACGGAATGTTGTCAAAATGTGGAAATTTTCTGATACGTTTAAGCGGTTACATGTAGCATTTGCTATGAATAATTTTCCCAGTTTTTGTTTGAAACCAAAGCAAGTTTAATGCTTTGAATATTTGCTTCAAGGCTTCGATGTGTTGTCGATTCTTCCAACTGGCTTTGGAAAGTCGCTGTTGTTTCAGCTTTTGCCAGACCTTTTGCCAGTCCTTTTGCCAGTTAAAAAGTCGTCCCAGAATATCGTTCTTGTTGTCTGTCCGTTATCAAGTATAATCGAAGATCAAATCAGTGCTCTGAGTTTGATTGGAATTCCAGCAGAAATTTTACCAAATACATGCGAAGATTCTTCACATTTATACAATTCGGAGTCGTTGTTTGATCGCAAGGAGGATACAAACGAACAAACTTGCGAAAAGATGTAGGTCTTCATTGTGAACCTCTTTTCTCATCTGACCCTTTGATAATATAATAAAAATGTTTTAATATTAAATATTTTAAAATCAATGGCCATCTGCGTTATATTTATAGACTAAATTTTGATCTAGACAAAAGTTTCATCACATCTTGAAAGAGCATCACAAAATTAGTAATATCCCAAAGTTTCGTTGCGAAATGTTGTAAAATGCGGATAATATAGCCTTGCTAAATTTGCAATTTTCTGTCCTTTTTAGATTACAAACGGGAAATTGATGCCCCAACACCCGATTGGGCTGTCAATTTCCCGTGCGTAATACCAAATGACTGAAAAACGGCAAACTTCGCAAGGCTATATTATATGAAATATAGGCTTTGGAATATTACTAATTTTGTGATGCTCTTTCAAGCTGTGATAAAATTTTCGTCTAGACCAAAATTTAGTCTATAATGCAAATGGCCCATTGTTATTAAATATTGATGTCACGCTTAATAGCGAAACTTGTAGTAACCATTCCAAATTAAAGTTTGCAATATAAACGAACGTTAATTTTACTGTCGCGAGGCTTATACATATTAAAATGGTTTTAAAAACATTAAATTTAAAAACTAATATGTATTTAATCTTGTAGACACGTTATAGCGTTGTTCGTTCAGGTAGTTATTAAGAAATACCTATGGCTATGCACTTGCGTATTATGCATCAGTCAATTCTAGCATTGCCCATCCCCCCCCCCGGGCAACCCCCGGGCATTTGCACTTTTTTTTTCTTTAAGTTGACAATTCCCGGGGGTCGGGCAGAAAAAGCGTGGCAATGCCCCGCCCCCGGGCAAAAAATAAGATGACAAATGCCCGGCCCCAGCGCACACCGACTCATTTATAGAATATATTTTAGATCTCAAAACTTCCATAACATTATTAGCTTCCTCGTATAAAAGCTACAGCAGTCATCCCAACTTTTGAACATGAAAAACGTGCTCGATCGGTTCAGTGGTTAATATACAATCACGTAGCAAGATATAAAACAAGGATTGTACGATGAATTCAGGTGTTTTTATGCTAGATAGTTAAACACAACTTTAATTAGTTCTCATGTGCGATTGGTGTGACGTTTTGTGAATGAAAATATCGACAAAATCCTCGTTTTTACGCCCGAATTCTTCGACGCCATTTTAATATAATAGCACGTGTTCGTCGCAGAAACGTCCGGTTGAGTCAAATTCCCGGCCGGTAAACAATTCCCCGCCCCCGGGACAACTTTGCAAGTACCAATGCCCGGCCCCCGGGCAAAAAAAGAGTGCAAATGCCCGGGGGTTGCCCGGGGGGGGGGGATGGGCAATGCTAGAATTGACTGATGCATTACCTTCAAAATTCTTTTGTCCCAGTTATCTCCCGTACCACGAAAAGTCTTCCCACTCTTATAAGCTTCTCCACTGTCTTGTCAAGGAAATGACCACCCAGTAACGTGAGTAAAGTAGTGCGTCTGCTATGGGACAGGCAAACACCAAGCTTATTCAGGCGATGTTGTAACTATACAGTCTAGAAGAGAAACCTTTTATTACAAATTATAATTGACAACAATGTTGCAAATTATGGCAATGCACTACTTTAATAAGCCTAGTTTCTATTTGGTCTTTATGTTGATACTCTATTTATACATCAGCCATATTACTGTAAATTATACAGATGAAGGAAAAAGTAAGAATAAAGAGCGCATAATGGCTGAATTTTACAGTTTCTTAATACCTAAATTTGTCGTGTTTTATAAGAAGGGAAACTGATTAGCATCTCAAATGATTTTGTTTATGCAGACTCGTGCAGCTAATTATGACAACCAAATTGAGACCTATGGCTCTGTTCATACTCTGTTAAAAAGTTTTTACCTGTTAAAAACAAACACGACCAAAACAAACAAATAAGACAATAGATGCACCTGACATTGCAAGCTGACTCGGCTGCGTAAATTTTGGAATGATTTTCAAATTTCATGCACACATAAATAAAACACACTTTTACTTTGCTTTTCGCCTTTATATTAGTTGACTGTTTAGGAAATTAAATTAAAATAAACCGTATAGACATCACTGTGCTATTACAACCTGAATATATTAAGCTGTACACTTGTCACTTGTGTTGATTTCAATGGTCTTTGCATATAGCATATAGTCACGTGCACGTAGTTGTATATATGACAGAACTATATACAATCAATTTTCTGTAGTATGCGTTTGGTAAAGTTAAGGCCAAGTAGATATCCATGAACATTGTATCATTTTGAAAAGTGAAACGTAAACACATATTAATAAAAAATTTACCTGTTTTGAGCAGCCACCTTCAATTAAGCAAAGCGTGTTCAATCGCTGAATCAGACTTAGTTCATGCCAACGTACATTCATTAGAATGGAATATAGAAACCCGTACTTTGCTCGTAGGTCTTGCTTCGCTTTACATCCTTCAACACCAGTGATTGCATTTAGAATCTCCATGACAAATGGGATATTGGTCTCCATTTCTTCCCACAACTTTTCAAACGAGAAGTTTATCATCATGCCGCATGAGTCTTGTCGTCCAGCGTGTAAAATAGAGCCTTTGTTTCTAAGGCAAAGGTTTTTGCAAGACGCATTTATATCATCAGTGATTTTTCTCTTCACCTCTCTAACTACGTTGGGACAATATTTCATAATTATATACGCGAGGACAGAG